AATGCCGACTGGCTGTGAACACGAGTACTGACATCAAGATTACAAACACCACGATGATTAACTTCTTCATCGAGTAGAAGCAGCAAATGTGCCCGACCTAAACGGCTGGATTCGGCAATGTCCGCAGCGAGAAAAATAATGCTAAACAGGAGAAGCATGAAAACGGTTAAAATCCGATGTGTGGAGTACTGCCTCTCCGCAACAACTGAAGCCGTCGACGGAAGATAAGCCGCTTTAAAAGAAGCAGAATCTGAAGAAATACAGGAAAGGAAAAGGACTGTTACTCTGTCTCATAATGGAAGTGGCTGAAAATGAAAATGGGCGTCGAATCACGAAGCAAACGGAGGTGAAAGACATACGTAGGAAATTCTACATGAATGTTTTTGCACCATTTACAAAATTACACGCTGTCAAGCATCAAATCTTCCTTTGCTGACCAGCTAAGAAAATACAAAGCTTTTCAAATGAAATACGGGAAGGCTTCCGGCAGTGATGGCATTAACATCGAATTCATTAGAGAGGATATAAAATCCAGAAAGCTTTAGCCATTCGATTCAGCCGGTACTTGGCTGAGAAAAGCAATTTGGAAATCCCATGCGCATGCGCGCAAGCAGATGTCTAGACAGAAGTTCATCTTATACACGGCGACACATACAAGAAAAGCAAACATCCCTTCGCAACAAATATCTTTGAAGTGACCAAAGTCGTGGCGTAAGTGCAAATAGGCACTCAGGTATATGATTTATATGAGCGACAAACACGCTGAAAAAATTTCAGTCACTATTTTCTGGCAAGTTTTCGAGTTAGCACAAACCAAGTTGCGAGCTTCGACGTGATTGCAGGCGCTGCACAAGCGTGCGCGACAGCTAAATTTGAAATTTTTAGCTTGCACATGCACAGAGAATATCTCTACAAAGTTTCAGCTTTGCACCTTGCCTGGTTCGCGAAATTGTTTCCCGCTAAAAACACCTGCATATTTTTTTCGGGGGGTTCGTACGCGAGGTCCAGGGGCGTATGAGGGAAGATCTTAAAACGGGAGGATGTCATACGGGGTAGGAAGACACCCCCAAAATTTCAGCCTCCCAGCTTTCCCCGCTGCTGAGACGAAAGTGGGTGACGAAGTTTACTCGCTTCCGAACACAT